CTGGAAGGGATTTTGGGGTGTCTGGGGGGTTTTGAGCAGGGTTTGGGGGGGATTCGGGGGATCTGGGGAGGATTTGGGGGGATTTTGGGAAGGATTTGGGGTGTTTTGGGGTGATTTTGGGCTGTTTTGGGGTGTTTTGGGGTGTTTTGGGTTATTTTGGGGTGTTTTGGGCTGTTTTGGGGTGATTTTGGGGTGTTTTGGGGTTATTTTGGGGTATTTTGGGCTGTTTTGGGGTGATTTGGGGCTGTTTTGGGCTGTTTTGGGGTATTTTGGGCTGTTTTGGGGTATTTTGGGGTGATTTGGGGCTGTTTTGGGGTTGTTTTGGGGTGATTTTGGGCTGTTTTGGGAACGTTCTGGCCACAGGAGGAGGATGCAGGGCTGGAACGTTCTGTGGGTGCCGGGCACCGACCACGCCGGCATCGCCACACAGGTGTGTCCCCAAATGTCCCAAAAATGTCCAAAAATGTCCCCAAATGTCCCAAAAATGTCCCCAAATGTCCCAAAAATGTCCCCAAATGTCCCAAAAATGTCCCCAAATGTCCCCAAATGTCCCAAAAATGTCCCCAAATGCCCCAAAATGTCCCCAAATGTCCCAAAAATGTCCCCAAATGTCCCAAAAATGTCCCCAAATGTCCCAAAAATGTCCCCAAATGTCCCCAAATGTCCCAAAAATGTCCCCAAATGTCCCAAAAATGTCCCAAAATGTCCCCAAATGTCCCAAAAATGTCCCCAAATGTCCCAAAAATGTCCCCAAATGTCCCCAAATGTCCCAAAAATGTCCCCAAATGTCCCAAAAATGTCCCCAAATGTCCCAAAAATGTCCCCAAATGTCCCAAAAATGTCCCTAAATGTCCCCAAATGTCCCAAAAATGTCCCAAAAATGTCCCCAAATGTCCCAAAAATGTCCCCAAATGTCCCTAAATGTCCCAAAAATGTCCCAAAATGTCCCCAAATGTCCCGAACGATGTCCCAATATCCCAAATGTGTCCCCAAAAATGTCCCCAAAAATGCCCCAAATGTGTCCCCAATGTCCCCAATGTCCCCAGGCCGTGGTGGAGCGCTGGCTGTGGCAGCACCGGGGGCTGCGCCCGCAGCAGTTGGGCCGGGCCGAGTTCCTGCAGGAGGTTTGGCGCTGGAAGGAGCGGTGAGGGGACATTGGGGACACCTCGGGGACATTGGGGACACCTCGGGGACACCTCGG